ACAGAAAGACATAACTGCTATTGATAGCAAGAAGAAAATTAATCTATAGAAAAAACCCATTTATGTTAAATTTAGTAAATATTTCTTATGAGAATGTGAAAGATGAACAATGGCTAACAATGAAGTCAATGTTAATTAACCCTAAAATGGACATGAATTGACCTACCAACAGATAAAGAGGTGAAAAATGTCCCTAGAAGTCATTCATCCACCAATCATGACTTCAACAACATTCTTTCAATAAACTCTCTGTGGCAAAGTGGAATCCATCACGGAACAATAGTTTGAAGCTCCAGGATTCCAAATACTGAAAAAAAAAAAAAATCCCCTAAAAGTATTCTATTTTTTCAGGAAAGAAATAGTAGGTTTCAATTTTGGATTGACAGATGACCAGAATTTAAACTTTACATCATTTTCTCTTTTGATTTTGTTTCATCACTTTCCAAGAGGAAGGGTAAAAGATAAATAATTGTAACAAAAAAAGAAACCAAACAAAAGCTTCTGTACTTTCTTCTACAAGAAATAAAAGAATACTCTAGTGTTAGAAAGAGAGCTTCACTTTTGTTCATTCTAGTGTGTCAAGAAGAGAGATCCTGATTCAGGTTGTGGCCATTACCAGCAGGTACAACTGCAAGGCCCTCCAGGCTTCTCCAGCCACCATCTCAACCACCCCTGATGACGACTTTCCATCCTCCCCACCCCTCACACACAGCCCAGTGCTGCCCTGTGCCAGCTTCAGGGATAAAGGATAGAGCTGTCTCAAGAATCCTCATGCTTTCTCCTAGAATTCTATCAGACTAAAGTAGTTGCTTCAGAAAACTAGATTTGAGGATTATGATAGCTTGGGTGATTAAATGGAAGAAGTTCTTTGTAAACAGTCATCAGCTGTGAAATTGTTAATTATCACATGTTTCTTCATTTCTTCCTTCAATTTTTCTTTCTTCCTATTTAGGTTTTGAGCTGAGCTAGAAACCCTTGAGAAATCATTTCCATGGTATATTCAGCCCTCCATATCCACAGGTCCTGTATCCACAAGACTCAACCCACTATGGATTGAAAATGTGTTTTAAAAAATTGTGTCTGTACTGAACTAATACAGACTTTTTAACTTGTTACTATTCCCTAAACAGTACAGGACAACAACTGTTTACAAAGCATTTTCATTGTATTAGGCAATGTAAGCAATCTAGTGATAATTTAATGTATATGTGGGAATGTGCACAGATTCTAGGCACATACGATGCTATTTTATAGAAAGGACTTGAAAAACTGTGAATTTTGGTACAGGTGGTGGATTCAAACCAAACATCAGAAGATGCTGAGGGATGACTGTATACCTGATTCAGAGGTCTAGTTGAGGCTTCCTCTTACTCTAAGGAAAAAAAAAAATGTGCTTCTCTAACAAGGAAATGTACTTCTAAAATCATTCATTGAGTGAATGTTTCCTCCCACACACATCTCTATCTTTTGAGCTCTCTCTCCTTCACCCAATCCTTCAAGGCATACTCATTTTCCTTATTTACTTGAATCTTACTGAAACATATGATTGTAAGTTATTCAGTTTTAGAGGTTTCTTATGAAGGAACAAAGAATGATCAATCATCAGAAGCTTACAACTTGCCCAGGGCTCCTTGAATAGCCTGATTTAGCAAAAAGAAAGATGTATGCTGTAGTAATGTGATATGAGATATCCTCGGAGAGTTCTCTCTGGCATCCTCGCTGACTGGCCGTGGTTCAAATCCCAACATTAGCAGCTCTTTTGATGTAGTCAATAAGAAAATCCTTGGGTTTAGCTGAAATAACAACTGTGCCTCTTTAGTTAAGTGACATTAATCAAGCCACTAAACATCTCTGAGCCTCAGTTTCCTTTTCTAGGAAAAGGAGATAATAAAACCAACCTCAAGGGTTAGTATTGGGTACAGTTTATAAAACATTAAGAAACTTCAGTGTCTGATAACATTTCAGTGACAATGTTATCTAGGAATTCTAAGACATTAAATAGCTATCCACTAGCCCAAGTCTCTTTTCTGTTTAACTTTGGCCAAGAGCAGAAACTTGAGTGACTTTTACAGAGCAAACCTCTGTAAGGTTTCTTGGGTGTCCCCAGACCACTAAAGATAAAAACATGCTGATTTGAAACAAAGACTTGAAGCATGTTGGAAGTCAGCTTGGCCAAGAATGATGTTGGAAGAATGTTGAGCCTGATTAATTATTTCATCATTGTGTCAGCCTTATACTTTTCCTTTCCATAGTAAATAACACAGTTGGCGAAATAATGAATGCATTTCCACAAGGTTCCACTGAGTCTCATGTCTACATGTGCACTCAGTATCCACAATGTGCCTACAGACAAAGCTAACTCATTGGTATTACCTATACAAGGAGTTTCCTGATCTGGATTCAACCATCCTCTCTAATTTCATATCCTATAAATTCCCTACCTGAAAACTTTGCAACCACCAGATCAATGTACTTTTGTATTGGGGAAGTAGTGATTTTTATGTTATTTCATATTTTTCTGTTCCTCCTCCTTCCCTAATACTAACTTGTTTATTAAATAAGCTGATGTCTGGTTCTTCAAATTTGAGTACTTTTCTTTGAAATCTGACTTTCTATCCCATACCTACCTGAGTTTCTGGCACAACAGTTCTTATCTCTGTTATCAAATCCATCATACTGGTCCTTTTCTTACTAACTACCTGGTGTTTCCTTTTCTAATATCCTGTAGGATCCTGAAAGGCAAGGGCTACCTGCTCTGGACTTTTTCCATACAGAAGACTGTGGCTGGCATGAGAAGCACTCAGTAAACAGGCTATAAATGAATAATGCCATGTAACATAAAACACACCATTGCTTTTAAAACAAATTAGTCTTCAAAATCATTTACTGTAGGATACAAGTGTCCTTAGACCATGAGTAAAGCTCAAAAAAGTCAAATAAGAATCTCAGCCTCTATTTCTTCATGAGATTAGAAAAAGAAATGTCTTGGAGTCTTCTTACTTGGACTTTGCCCTGAGGTGTTCACTGTGTACCCTCATAGGCAAAGTTGACACCCTGACAAAAGAATATTCAGCTCTTTAGTCTTAACTCTTGGTAGATTGGTAGTAAATTCTGATAACCTAACAGAGGTTATTTGCCCCAGAGAGTGAAAGAGAATAGGGATTTTTATCTGGTCCTTAGGAAAATAGAAAGGGCCATGAAATATATAGCAACCTCTGAATATACTAAAGATATTCTGGCACAAGGGGTAAAGGAAAAGATGTTTGATGAGTCCCTCTAGATGATGAAATCCAGTCAGCATATGAAGTCTTCAGAGCTATGTCCTTTAGTGAGCAGGTTAATGAACAGAAAGGTGGAATCTCAGTGGAAGACATGATCAGTGGAATGTTCTGGAGAAGAGGGTGTAGAGGTAATTCAACAGGATTAAGCAGGCAAGGTCATTATCCCCACTGCAATATATTTGTATAAAATATATAATATTTGTATAAAAATAAATAATATTTATTATACAAATAAATACGTAATATCATCCACAGTGAAGGTGAACTTATTAATCAAAGGAATGAGTGAATCTAATATATTTTTCTGGTAACAATCATATAAAATATTTTATATATATCTCCAAAGCTTGGAGATGCCATTTTGTGGCCATCCCTCCTATCCAAAGATTTTCTAAATGTATATAGTCACCTCATTGCCACCAAATGTCTACTGCATTAGCAGTAGGCTGTGAGATAGTTAACAGAGATGATCTGAGTTGAATTCAGTGTGCAGGCTTCCACAATGCTGGGCTGGGATTCACTGCAAAAGAATGTGGGACTCCATGAAGACAGAGTGGGACAAAGTGGGACCTCTAAAGACAGAGGTCCATTCTACTTCCAGTCAACTTCATCTGATTTTATCCACATGGAGAGTATGGGGTGAGAAGAAGGCATCCAGGTAGCTTGCCTTTGGTTTTCAAGCAACCTGTGGTATTCTGAAGTTGTGGTCCACGTTATAGAACACAGTGCAGATAAAAGTTTGGTCCTGTCCTTGCTAAATGAAGCTTTTGACTACAGCTTACATTTTATTTGAAATAGTCTATACTGATAATGATTTGAACAGTGAAAGAAAACTCTATACTGAAAAGAATTTTAACTTAGCTGAGAGCAGCTTGACATAGGTATTCTGAGTTATAATTGAGCAGCATTTGATGAAATAAGAAAAATTGCATAAGCCAAAACCAAAGACTGCCTCAATTTCAATCAAAGCCAAGTGTATGGGTGGAAATTTTTTTTGCGTATTTTTATAATCAACCCAATGAGAAACAAACCATTCAGCTTGAGAAGAAATGCAGACACAATGGACATGAGGGCTTAAAACTAGACTTCAGTTAAAGAAGCAATTTGGTGTAGGAGAGCATGAAAAACTCTGCCTGTAGACAGAGCTGAGTTTGAATTCTGAATCTATCAAATGGTAGACATTTGTGACCAAGGAAAAATTATTTAACTTCTCTATAATCAATACTTCTCAACCTCAAGAAGCAAAAGTGAGAAAATCACATGAGCTGTAAAGACCTTTATGAGGATTAATTAGATTATTGATAAATGCAAATTTTCTTTGCTCTATTTTATTGGTGAGAAAGGGTACTAAAACATCATGGGAGAAAGGAGAAGCAATCTGTACAATTAAACATTCCTATTTCCCTCATTCCCTTCTCCAAAACGTGTATTTCACCCATTATGGAAAACTATCTGAATCTCAACATACAATACTACATTCCATTTCTTCATTTGAAATGGAAGACTTGGAATATAAGGAGGTGATGGCATAGCCACATGCCTTTATGGTACAAACTTCAGTACAGCCCTAAAAATAAGAGAACTGGCCATTTCCAATGGAGCCCTAGTTTATTTTGATTCATATTGAATTTCTCATACATGTCTTTCTCCCTTTGGGGAATTTCATGCATCAATTAATGTGCTTTCATACAACCACAAAAAGATCACAGTTCTCATTACCATTCATCCTTATCAGCATCACAATTGCAAAAATGCCGAATGTCCAGGCAGCTCTCCTCCAGGCCACATTCACACTGCTGGACCCCAGGAAGAGAACCTCCCCAGTAAGGGTGCCTTTCATTGGACCGCCCAATCCACCAGGTAAATGGTGTTCCATCTGAAAGACAAAGATGTTTCACAAGTCAGAAGGCAAGCCAGAAACAGCACAGAGGACATCACAGAAACTGCAATGAAATTATCTTGAAAAAATATATACATTTATAAACTTTCTCCCTCTTTTCCTTCCTTCCTTCCTTCCTCCTTTCCTTTCATCATTCTTTTTTCCTCCCTTCCCTCCCTCCCTCCCTTTTTCCCTTCCTTCTTTCATCCTTCCTTCCTTCCATTCTTTCCTTTATTCATCCCTCTTGCTTCTCTCTTCCTGTCTCTAATTCTTTCTCTCTGTCTTTCTCTGTTTCTCTTCCATTCCCTTTAAATATTAATATGCAATACACATATGAATTTATATACAATATATTCATCAAATGTATTTATGTAGTTAAATATTCATTAATGACGATGTTTACAGGCAAGGCCACAAACAGGCAGATATCAAAATTGAGTAAACCGAACCACTTTCAATAAATAAATAAAAATATGTATGTATAAAAATAATTTCCTTTTAAAACTACCAAGACCAAACAGAGCGAACAGTAGCTTAACCTTTGTCCTAGTTTCTGGTATACAAATGAGAAATAAGGAAGTTAAGGTGAAAGAGACTGCAGGCTCAGGTGAGCAGGGTCCTGATCTACCTCCCTTTGTTCTTTATCATGACCAGACCAGCCTTCTAAATACTTTTAAAGAGAAGTTACTAAATTTCAAGTTCATAGATTTGAGGAAAACCAAAATATCATAAACACCAATTCTGGGCCAGATAAACTCTTCTGAATGTCATTTTCACCCATACATAGCTTATATATCACCTCTAATTTCTACTATACTTGGTTGACAAAAAGCAAGTTTTTAAGTCTTGACCTTATTAATTTTCTTTCTTTACAAATTTTGGTTCAGTAAAAACCTGTTTGATTTTCTTTAGTGATTGATAATATTGTAGTAGATTAGAATTGTCGTTCAGATAATGATACTATATCCAAAACAGCAGGTATAAAGAGATGGAAATACTTTACATTAGCTGAAGAATTAGCAACCTAATAACCTGGTTTCCCTTTAAAATTGCCGTCTTGTTTTTGTTTGGCATGTACTAGGTGCTTACAATGTGTTTGTTTTTTAAATCTTCACTATCTTTATCAGGAAAATACAAATCAAAATGACACTGAGATGCCATCTCACACAGTCAGAATGGTAATCATCCAGAAAACAAAACAAAACAAAACAAATCCCCAAATTCTAGCAAAGAGGTGAGAGCAGAGATGAAGCCTTTACACACTGTTGGAGGGAATGTAAATTAGTGTAGCCACTGTGGAAATCAAAATAGAGATTCCTCAAAAAATTAGTAATAGGACTATCATAAGATCCAGCTATACCATTTCTGGATATACACCCAAAAGATCAAAGTCAGTTTATTCTACAGATACTAACATAATCATATTTATAACTGCATTACTGACTACAGCCAAATTATGGAATCACTCTAAGTGTCCAGCAGTGTATGGATGGATAAAGAAAATGTGGTATATATACATAAGAGGGCATCATTCAGACATAAGTAATGAAATTGTATTAATCACAGAACAATCACAGAACTGGAGCTCATCATGTTAAACAAAATAAGCCAGACTCAGAAAGACAAGTATGTCTGGTTTTCTTCTATGTGGAATTCAGGGGAAAAAACCCCATGAAAATAAAAAGGGGACCATCGGGGATGTGGCATTGGAAAAGGAGGAGGGGATCAGAATGAGAAACGATATTGGAGGAAGTGAGTATCATTGATGTACATTATAAGAATATATGAAAGTGTGATAATGAAACTCATTACTTTGTATAATTAACATACACTAATAATTTAAAAATATAATGGAGAGGGAAATGTTAATTAACCTGATTTTATCATTGCATACTGAATATGTATATCGAATTATGACACTGTACCTTATCAATTTAAATAAATATAACTTTAAAATTAAAAAAGTAGAAAAAGGTTTATTAGCGGTCTTTTCTATGATTTACCATTTAAAGTAGAATGATAGTATTTACTTGGCATTCTGTCCTACCATGATTTATTATGCATGCAAATCCTTATTTACAAACAATCCCTATACACAAATAGCACAAACTTTCTCTGATCTGCCACACTAGCTGGGTCTCTATGGAAGTCCCTGAGGAAAGTAAGAAGATAGACAGTTGGAGGGGTCAACAATCTGTAGATCATAAGAAAAAAAATAGGGGTGTTCTGCAAGTAGCATAAGTTATTTTAGGGGTGCTTCTTCATAGAGCAGACAGCATGAAAGTTTGCACTCACACCAGCTAGGCCCTGCCCTGTGCCTAAAATATACATGCCCCTTTACTAGCTAGCATCTTCTTAAGACTTACTCTAAATGGTACAAATCCACTTCCCGAGTTTCAGATAACTATAAATCACTGTTAAACTCTCCAAATGAATTGCTTTCTTCCTTTCAGATCTGCCACACTCTAGTGGCCCTGAGGCTTGGTGAGTTTGTGTGGAGCATGCAACATTTTCAGTACCATGCCTAAGTGGATCTTCCCAGTGTATGAATCCAAGCAATGCACAGGTAAAGCATCTTGTCTCAGAATACATCCACAATTGTTAGCCTTGGTGATAAGAATGGGAAGAAAGCTGCTGACTTCTGCCTCTCTTAAGCCCTGTTCAGGCCTCTCCTCTGAGAATCTAGACTCTAGACCACAGTCATGTTCCATGTCATCATGGACTCTTTCTTATAATCTACTCCATAATTGTGAGCATATTAATACCATGACTACGAATATAGTGAAAAGACAAATGTATGTAAATTCTAGTGGAAATATTGCTTCTAAGGTGTAATAACTCTTGTTTGGTGTCTTAACCCCCTACAGGTTTAATTAGCTGCCCAAGACTGTTGTGTTTGAATCAATTAATGTTTTGTACCACTGAGGCTTGGCAATCCTTCCCAAATGTCTGCCAATTAGTTTAAAGATTGAAAATTATTTTTACTGATTGTCAAGAAACTAGGAAAATGAAAGAGATAAATCATATGTGTATATATATATATATAGATAGATATATATAGATATAGATATATAACATGGCACTTGATTTTTTTCCCTTCCTTATTTTTATCATCCTTGCAGAGTACTGGACAGAACAGAAAAATGAGGAAACTGGGGATATTGATTTGCCTTAATTCATGATCCAATAATTTAACCAGGAAAACAATATGCACATAGTTGCAAATTTTGAGGATTGGAGGAACTGACATTTTTCTCCTAACAGAGCATTATTCCATAAGTGAAAGAATAAAGCATAATTATAAAATTTTTTGTATTTAAAAATATTCATTCATTAAATAACTGTTTACTGAGGTTTTATAATATTTCAGGCACTAGGCACTACTTGAGACACTTGAGATAAATCACTACACAAAACCAGAACAAAGAAATGAATAAAATAAGTATGTCTTCATAAAGTTTACATTGCAATCAAGGGAATATGTAAGAATAATAAATGCTTTAGTGTTTAGAAGGGAAAATGTGAAGAAAATATAGCAGGGTAGGAGGTCAAATTACAAAAGGGAGTTTTGCAACATTTAGTAAAACTCCACAACAAAATCACAAACTCTGAGCAAAACTTGAAGGCATTAAATAAGTCATCGGTGACCACCTAGAAACAAAGTAAATTGCAACTTGTAGGCCTAAGAGGCAACCAGTGCATTTTCTAACATCTATAGCTAAGGTTTTAATTATAAATTTCAAAACACAAAGAAAGCTCTAATAGGAAGGGAAAAAAAATAGTTGCAGAAAACAGAACTGAATGTAGATTGATTGTTTCGAAGCTAAGAATTCACTATAGTAGGTCCAAACCAAAAGATGCTTCTTAGGAAGATACTGGGCTGCCACAGAACCATGAAGATGGAGAAATGGGTTTTAGATTAAGCAAAACAACCACAGAACGGGCTCAATATGAGAATCCCGGATAACTGACTGCCCAAGAATGCCAAATTCCAATAGGGGGCCCAGCTAAAGTTGCTGTGCTTCTGGCTCCAAGGACATTCCAAGGATGTCAGGACTCAAACCGTGGCCCTAAGGGTGTTGATTCCATGGGTCTGCACAGGTTCCTGGAGGAGTTGCTCCTCGTGTTCTCCCTGGTGTCAGATTTGCACAGCTGTGTCTAAATGGGGTACAGTTTTGCCTGCTAAGGCTCAGCTGGAAGGGAGATTGGAGATTTGAACTCTAACTTCACTGGAGGCAGGACTCACAGACAAGAATGGGACCAATGGCCAGACATTGGGACCAAGCAGACAGTTGGCATCACTTAATGGTTGAATATGTTACACTTCTGAAATCTCAACTTCTTCTGTATAATGGGATTATTTATCCAAATGTCTGCCTCTTTTGATGTTCCTGATAAAACAAGAATCTATGAAGTGTGGTGGAAGAACTTGGGCGATACTTTTGCTTTTACAACTAGGAAGCCATGAAGTCATTGTGCCTTAACAGGAAGCAGAATGGGGAGAAGAATCCATTCACCACAGAGTTGCCTGCTTAGGACATGGGTTCATCAGTAGTAAAAGGGAAAAAAAGCATAATCATTTTTTTCCCGGGGCCTAAGTCTCCAGGGATTTCAGAAACCAGTTTTTTGGCAAGGAACCAGTGTTTTCAACATAGTACCATGAGTCATGCAGCACAAGAACTTCCACCAAAAGTCCTAGGCAGAGAGCACAGGAGAACTTCAAGTCCTAGGAGACCCTACCAGGACCTCCAAGAAGCTATCTCAGGGGCCTTGTATGGATGGTAAGGTTCTCGGGGAGTAGGACAAAGAAAATACAATTGATGAATTGCATTAACTTAGATTAATTGTATGCATTTGTAGTTATTTTTATGGGACCTCATTTATACAAACAAAGGCTTGGAAAACTCAGATAGCATAAACGCTTTTCCAAAAAAAAGAAATCTTGCCAAGAATGTATTGGTCTTAGAGTACGTACAATAAGCCATCACAGAAGGTGA